TAACGAATATCAAATGGCTTTGAATCAAAGGTCTGATTAACATGAGTGAAGCTTAAAAGGCAGATATAGGACTGGTTTATTTCTAAGCTGAACTCTGTTTATGTTTAATGTGCAATCACTGTGATGGTCACCAGCAAACGGATGAAACCATGAGAGTTGTCCAGTTTGAACAGCCTCTGGGGATACCAGGCTGCTCGTAAGTTGAGAAATCTCATGTGTTACCTTGGCTATGGAAGACCATATTCTTCCTTCTGAACCTGGTTCTGATGGATAACAGTTCTGGATTGATTACACAGTTGTTCACGCTGGAAAGGTGGCTGGCTCTGATCAATACCAGCCCAGTTCTGGTCAGCCAGTCAGGTGCTGGGTTCTGTGAACTCCATCTTTTTCGTCCCGTCTCTCGTTTCTCTCGAGACATCTGCAGAAGGGTTCTCTCTCTCTTCTGTAGGAGGATTCAAGGATGATGGGTCTTTCTCTGAAGCTTTCTCCAAAGTCAAGTGTAAAGTGAAACTTGGAGAATGACACATGTATTATCTTAAGAGAAGATTACATAAAACACATTTCTCATTAATAAGCATTCAAAATATGACATCTTTAGAATTAAACTTAAACCATGCAATGTTTTAACTATAGATCTCCTAAAAAGGAATGTCAAATTGAACGTACGAAGGATTATTGTACCATGTTCCCATGGGAACAAGTCTTAAAAAAGTACTCCTTTTCGATAAGGGAAGATATCAAACATGGCGAGTTTGGATGTTTAGAGACTCCAAGGTTAGATTGAACAAAGCCTCTTTAAAAACATCTGTTTCATGGGAAATGAGTTCATATTGGGTTAGTGAGGTTAATGCAGTTTTTTTTTTTTAAGTACAATAGTGTCAACTTAGAAAGTTTGTGAGCAGAGATGAATATTTGTATACGTCTGTGAATTCCCAAGGGAATAGATTAATCTTATTTCACAGTTTCAAACACAAAACACAGGAATGATTGTTTGTTTTGCGTGTTCCCTTTGAGGGGAGGTGTTCCCTACTTCCATTAACTTGAGGTTTAGGTATGACATTTTGTTTGACTGTTTTCAGATATCTAATATGACTGATTTTAAAAAAGGTCCTAAATACTGTGTTGTACAGCCAATAAACAAATATGAGCTGATTGTTTGTGGAATAATAAATATTGCAATTTGATTACTGTCCATTAATTTGAGATCCACCATCTGATCTGATGAGCTCGTGTTTCTTTCTTTCCACCCATTAAAGCAGATTTAACATTTCTCTTTTGTTTCAACTCACAGCAATTTGAGCCGAGACACAACAAGCGGTACGCCGATGTCTTCCGTCGCTGACGGATTTGAACAGTGAATGTTTGTAGTTTTTAATAAGTGTTTTTTCTGGACTGGAACTGAACAGGCAGCACAAGAAACCTAAATGTTTTTGGTGCAAGATATTCGAGTTACTCTCTGTAAGAATGGAGGTGGTTTGTTTTTTCTTGTCTGAAGTGATAGAGTGGTGGATCCTGGTGAGTGGAGGGAGCAATTTTATTCATGACCAGGTGCAACAGCGGAGCCAGGGGGTGGTCAGTGGTGGCCTCAGCCCCCCATAGATTAATGTTCGACCACCACACTGGCTGTCCCAATCATTTGAGGAAACTCTACTTTTAAGCAATATAAAATCTAGAAAGCATAGTTTCCTCAAATAATAGGCGTGGTCAGATTACATATATACGTTGGTGGCCATCTTGAATTTCGAAGTCACAATCCCATTTTCAAAAGAAACTTTTCTTATTTTTAGATGTAGCCACACACCAAGAAGGATGTTTGCCAGTTGCGTGATTTTCAATTTATCCAACTCAAAATGTTTACATATTGTGGTGGCCATCTTGAATTTCGACATTACCTAACCCTTTTCCTTTTCACTCCACAGGTAGTGCCATAAATCAATAGGAACATAAAAGGGTTTCACCCCATTATAGTCAGATTCTTAATAAACCTGCATCATAACTAATAAGAAATGGACTTTTTCAAAAGTATTTAAGAAAATCATCTTGTAAAAACTCAACTGACACTGTAGGAGTTTATATTTTATGTAGAAAAATAAATAAAAGCACAAAACTTTTTTTTTTTTTTTTACAAAGGAATCCAACATGACAGCATCACTTCAATAAAACAAAATTGAATACACTTAACATTTAATCTGTCATCATAACAAAAATCAAATGATGCGTATAATTTCATACATTTACTTACAAAAACGTAAAAGAGCAACACTGGAAACATCAACCTTTGTTATTTAAAACTGTCAGTATCGTCTGAGGTGTCGAGGAAACAATCGCAGTACAATCGAAATCAGTGATGTGGCAATCAGAGGAATGTCAAACGCACAGAGGTGGAGAAACAAAAAGAGCTGTGGAAACAGAAACTTGAGCTCAAGCTGATTATAAAAACTGAATTCACCAACTTATTTTTACACAACACAACATACAGCCTCAAGGAAGAGTGAAAAATATACAGTACGGAGTGATTTTCAAGAGGCGCACACCCATTCTGTGTCCCTGCTGCTCTTTCATAACACATTTGTGTCCCAGTGAGCCTGATCTGTGGTGGATAACGTTTCAGGAACGATAAAAATGAACCCTAAAGAGCCGAAGGAGGAACACTCATCCTCTGTCCTGTCACTTTATCAGTTCTGAACATGTTGTTTGGTCATTAGTTAATTCAATCTAGCCTTTTACACATTAAAGGAAACGCTGTTGGAGCTCAGAGGTTCTGCTTTAAAATGCAGCGTTGAGTTTATTTTTATGTTGAGCGCAAATAAAAGGCTTAAAAAGAAGTAGTGTTCTTCAGTTTGTGATTCTTAACACCAGAAAAAAATTTGCAGTATAAAGATAACATAATGCAATTAAACATTAACCCAAACTTCAAATCAAATTGTGTTCCTAAATTTGCAAATACAAAAAGCTATGGAAACTAAACATGATATTAAATAAAATAAAAACAGTTTTTGGTTTGAAAATGATCAAATATGTAAGTTATGTTTGTAAATAAAACGACTGCAAAACAGATTTTAGGCAAAATTTCCCTCAAAAAGGAAAGACATGCTTTACTATACTATAAAGTGATAGTTCAGACTTTTGGAAGAGGGTTCCAACAGTTAGTATCTTACCTGTTGCAGATGCCTCTTAAAGCAATAGTTTGGAAAAAATGGTTAAGCTAATGGCAAGGCCAAGTGGTACCTTTTTTTTATTATTTTTTTTTTTTTACAAAACCTTGATTTTGATGTCTGTGTTGTATTGTTTTTTTTTTTTTTCACAGTTCTGTGGTCATCTGCAGTAGCAGCAGCCAGCTGTAGCACTTCTGGTGCAGCCTGGGCACATTTCCAGAAGGAATATCAAATGATATAACCATGCAATGCAACTTTCTGTCAATGTAAAGGTTTGTGAAACTGTGTTAGAATAAATAACTTTTAATATATAAATTTGAGCTGTTTTTGGACGGCAGTGATCAGCTTTGGTCCCACTCGGACTAGCCATTAAATCGTCAATCTGATCACTTTTATTTCTCCAAATTAGGGTTGTTCAACGAGCTATCACAACAGGTAAGACAATATTTGTTCACAATCTTTCCACAAAACCCACTTCAAAAGATCTGAACTAACCCTTCATTAGCAAGTTTTTACTTTTGTATAGTGATAATTTGTTCTGAGGTTTTACAATTTTGTGGCATTTGGATCATAATTTAATTTAAAAAATCATGCTAATTGTAAGACAGTATTTGACAAAGCGATTTTAAGGCAGATTTGTTGAATCCAGCTTTGAGGTAATCCATCTCCAGTCACCATCATGTGCCAGAAAATGATAAAAAAAAAAAAAAAAAAGTGCGCAGAAACACACTCACTGCCGTTTATATTGCATGCAAAAACTAAACAAAATTAAGATGCAATAATTCTGATTTACCCGAAATACCAAACATCGTGCTGGCACAGATTATCCCCCGATGGGAAGCCCTCGTACCAGTACACAAAGTGCTGCACTTCTCTCCACCTGCTCACGTTGAAGCTCAAGTCTCCAGCCTGGCAATGTCGAGCAGCTCTTTACAGATGGGAGTGTAAGTTTTGGCCACTTTGAGGTTGCCGTGGAAACCAGGGGGACTATTCAGTATGGACGGGCTTGATATGGAGGTGACGATGACGGACGACGTGGTCTTGGACACCGGCCTCGTCCCCGACTCCCTCGTCACGTCATCCAGCTGAGAAGGTGAAGAGAAACACGATTTCAGGAGCCGTGATTTAGACTCAACACTTCGCTGTGAGGAGGTGAGAGATGAAGGTTTGAGTGAAGAAGATTAAAAGAATGCACGTATCGGAGCTAAACGATGTGGCTGAGCAGACTAATTTATATTTTGCAGAGAAAGGTGACAAATATTGTCCTTAAAACTACTAATTATGTTGTAAAATGATTAGTAGCATATTTAAAATATTAGAAATGTCAGATTTCTTTATAAAGTGTATTATTTTTCTAAAAAAAAAAAAAAAGGTGCCTCAAACTCAAGCAGTCCTTCCACATCAGTGTTAAACATTTATCGTAGTTTGCTTCTGAATGAGTGCATGAGCAGAGGAAGACAGAACGGAGCTGTCAAGCTTTGATTTTCAGATTATTAATTAAGAAGCAGCAGAAAATTAAACTAGACTGGTTGTTGAAAAACATTAATTTGATTGGTTAGAATGAAAAGAAAATTCATATTAAAGATGAAAAAACATAATTTTATGTTAGATTTACTGTTAAACTGCTCGGACACTGTTATTCAGTAAGTTACATTAGCCAAAAATGAGTTAAAATACCTGACAGGTGAAAAATATATGAAGATTACAGCTGGAAAAAACAAAATGTTTGATTAAATAAAATCCTCCTGCAACATTTCTCCTCATCGTAAAACAGAACAATTATTATTAATAATGTTCTTTGGTCTCTTTAGTCTCATAATTTAAAAAAATGAATCGGTCCTGCACCACATGGAGAATGAAGCTCTGAAGTCGTTCAATGTCAAATTTGGTTTTCAATTATTTAAAGAAAACAAAATCATATATATATATATTTTTTTTTTTCATCTTTATTTTCAAACACTATTCATTTTTTTTTTTTTTTTGGATGTAAATATGTAAAAAAAACAAAAAAAAAAAAACAAGAGAAATCCATCTGCAGGATTTGACTTATCAAGTTTTATTATAATAAATTTGCAGAAATAATACCAATTGTATTTTGTTAATAGACTATTCTGTCCAAGATGTGTAAAGTTCGCCAATAAAAATCCTCTTTTTATGTTTTAATATGGTGAAACTGTGCGTATATTTCTGCAACGTCTAAAATTTAATCAGATACATTTTTTTAAATCAGAAGTTTTCCTTCACTGTGGAAAAAATGTCTGAAAAACCATGAACAAAGTGAATAATTTGCACATAAATTGAAATATAATTAATCTAATTTCAAATAAAATGTTTTTATTCACAACACTAAATCAAACACTTTTCAGTTTTTATTACAAATCTTATCTTGAACATGTCCAGATGTTGCACAAGACATTTCTCTTTGTGTTGAATAAAATCATTCTGACCATTTTTCTGCAGAAACACATCTGATCTGTATTAAATTAATTTGCGCAACATCATAATTTTGTGCTTTTTCTAACATTTCCCTCTGCTTTATATGATATTAGACCCACTAATCACTAAAGACCAGTGTGAGCTTTATAAAAAAATCTTTTTTTAATTTTGCAGTTTTACTTCTTCCCACCTCCACCCCTCAACAACATGCACAAACTTTGCTCTGCACGAGCCGAACAACAACAAAGGCAGGCTGATTTCAGCTGTGGTGACATTTAAATGAGATAAAAGAGCTCAGTTTGACTAAATATAGAAGAGAAAAAAAAATGTAGATGTGGGAGAAAATAGGATTTATTAGAAATGTAATAAAACAAGGTAATATGTTGTTTTTAACATAAAATAACTTAAATCTTATGAGAACTAAAAACAAAGCCAGATGTAAAAGCCTCAGAGGATGACAAAAAAAACTGAACTCAACAAGCAGTAAATAATAAATATTAATACATGTTATATTACAGTAATGTATATCCAGCTCTGATGGTTAATGATGGGTAAATTCTTACAGCAGCAGGGAGGTGTCCGGTCGGCTGCTGACTGATGTCCAGCATGCAGATGTCTTCAGGCTCAGTCAGAGTCTGAACAGTGTGCACATAAACACAACCTTTTAGTGTCGCTTCAAAAGCTTTTCTGTTCGCTTCAAGTTTGGCCCGACCAGATTCAGAACGCTTAGAAGAGCATCTTTGAATCAAAATGTTTCATCCAGAAAAGTCAGAAAAAGTTTAACGCACAGTTTGCCTGACTGTGTGAGGAGTTTGACAGTTTTTTAAGTGTTTCAAACAAAAGCATGTTTAAATTCATTCAACTTTTATTTATACAGGTTAGTTTCATTGAGCCTCAAACTTATTTACAAGGAGAACCGTTTTAACAAAGAACGACGACAACAGTAGACAATCATTAAAAAGCATAGGCTCTAAACTGAAAAATAAATGGAAGAAAATTATTACTAAATAAATAAAATAAAAAAAACAGTCCTAGTGTTCAACGTTAGACAGGATCCATTTCTAAAAAAGAAACTCAATGTTACTTTGAATTTCTGTACCAAGTTTTCAACATGGGGCTTAAAAAAGAGGTGAATTGACCAAAATACCCAAATATTTGTAGGAATCGACAAACCCAATAGGAACACCATTAGAAGATAAAATCGAAGAAAGAACTGTTGGGACCGACTTCCTGTTTGAAAACATCCCTTTGGTTTTGTCGGCATTTAGCACAAGTTTGAGATGGAACAAAACTGACTGGATTATGTCAAAAGGGGATTACAAAAGCTGGAAAACCTTATCAACGGTTTAAAAAAAAACTGTATCGTCAGCATAGAAATGTAAGGATGCATCAGGGACTTATGTAGATTGTAAAGAGGGTGGGTCCTAAGACTGAACCTTGTGGTACACCGTTAACAGTTTGATAACTGGAAAAAGTACCATTATGTTGAACACACCGCCTCCGATCTGAGAGACAATTAGAGAACTGACCAATGGCGTGATCTGAGAAACAAGTCTGAGAGGTTATGACATATGATGTCATGGTCCACAGTGTCAAAAGCTTTAGACAGGTCTAAAAGTGCAGCACAATAATCCTTAGCGTCTGGTGCTTCAATGACATCATTAAAATACCTTCAGCAAATCAGTCATTGCACTGTTGTTTCCTGAAACCAGATTGATGAGGTGGTAAGATGTAAAAAAAAAAAAAAAAAATCCAAATACTTCTTGATTTGAGAGTTTATCAGTTTTTCTAGAACATTGGCTAAAACAACAGAGTTTAAAGATTGGTCGATAATTGTTCAATATAGTGGGGTCTCCTCTCTTCAGGAAAGGTAGAACAAAGGCATCTGGAACGGTGTTTTGGCTTATGGACAGACTAAAGATGTGATGAGACACCGATTCTGCGATGCTTCGTGTCAGTGTAAAATTATCCCAGCTGTGGAAACCCATTTCTGCCACTCTGCTAAAACAAATCCACTCATTTTATGTGATGTTATCTCAAAAGTATAAAGTGGTAGTAATTGGTCCACTGCTAACAGCATGAAGAAAAGAGCTAAAAAGCAATTTTTTTTCTTCTCATTACTTTTATTTTAAAACAAAAAGTACATTGACAACATAAATCAAACTCAAAAGTTGTTGGCTGAAGCTGAAAATTATTTATGCCCATCTTGTGTTGAAATAAAAAAAGGAAATCACATAGGACTCCTAAAAAAAAAAAAAAACAAAAAAAAAACAGTAAATAATTTTATTGACCTTTTTTATGGATTTTATATTAAACATACTGGTGTATTAAAAAACATTAAAAATAAAACTAAATCAGAATATCGTGAAAAGTTCACTATTATTTTTTGTCAATCACTTTAGAAAGTGAAACTTTCGTGCTTTATAAAGCTTCACTATACATAGAGTGAAAATTTTTAAGCAATTAGTTCTTGTTATTTTGATGATTATGGCTTGCAGATAATAAAAACTCAGTGTCTCAATGATGATTTCTTCTGATTAATGATGAAGTCAATGATCCAAACAAAGCCACAAACAGCGTCTTGTTTGCTCAATTACAAACATGGCTTTGGACTTGTTTTATTTATTTATTAGATGCACTTCTTTGTTTTTTGAGAAGTGACAATCAGTAGCTGGTCCTGCGACACTGAAAGTTCTACTTTTGTTGGAAACTTACAAGTTGGACTTTGCTTTACGTTGTATTTTTGCTCAGCTTACTCACTAACATTGGCTCTGATTGTTCTCCCATGAAAGAATAATGCTAATAAGTATCCCCCTCCTTTTAAAAAAAAAAATAGGCATATCCCTAAGAGTGTAAATTTTTTTTTATGATTCAAAGGTAATTCAAGGGTTTTTTTAAATCACAGCATCACACTGTAGGAGTTCCAGTTTTTCTCTTGCAGCTTTCCGACACCAGAGGGCGCCATCAGGACCACACCTGAGGACCATTCTTCTAATGAACTGCAGGAGTACATAATGCAGTTGATGACTGCAATCTGACGCTGGTGCATTATCTGCCAATGCTGGCCTTTACTTTAGTCCTTGTTTATTGTGAAAGCTAATCTCTAATTCTCCGTGTTGTAGCTTGACTCCTGCGTTCCTCCTGAACCTTGGACCTTCTTGGTTGTCTCCTGAGACTCCTCGTGATCTCTCCAGTCATTCCTTGCCTTCCGGTTGTATGAAACCATTATCTTCCGCACTCCTTGCTATTAGAACGGGACTTCAACTATGTGACAACTCTGCTTACTTTCAGTAAGAAAGAATCTGAACATCATAACCAACTCTCAAGAAGAAGCCTCCAAACTAACGTTGTTCCTTGCACTCCAGGGTTCCAGTCCTGCCCTTCTGATCTTTTGCACTGTCCATTTACACACTGATTGTAAAGAAACACTGTTAAACTTTCTCTTGGCCCTGAAGCCGTTGTTCTTGATTGCACATCTGGGTATAGAGCTAAACTTTACACGCACTGGTTTTCACCACAAGAACTTTATATATTTGAGAAATGGAGTTTCTGTATCAGGATATTTATCTGATCTTGTTTACATAGTTACTGCTTGCGCTCGATGAAGGCGGACGCTTTTCCCTCCCGCTCCTACTTCCCTCCTGCTTTGCTCTTTGTCCTGTGAACCATATCGGAGCCTCCCTTTACATATCTTCCGAATTATAAATCATGGATCTGGTCAGCTGGTCTCTCTACACAATTGATAAAATTTGCTCAACGAGAAAACAGGGCAAAGGAGATCCCTCTTGCCCTGACGGGACACTTGCAGCTGGATATACGATGGATTCCTGGGGTCAGTGGAAGATTGTGTCTGTCAGTTGAGGATGTAGAAGACTTGTACATAATTGGATTTATGATAATAGGATTTCTGCTTTTTAGAGTTGGCAGTTACCTGGCATACTGACAAATATGAAAAACATTGGCAGCTGTTCTGGCCATTGTAAGGCTGCCCGACTTGTGAAGGAATGTGCCGTGTGGTGAGCACTCAGACTCAAATGCTGTGTGAGCTGAGTCATAAGCTGGACGCGATTTATGAGAATTGCAGGCCACTCCTGAAACTTGCTGGAGGGAAGGAATCGACCTTGGAGAAGCTAAAAGCTCGGCCCGGTGGTGTTGACCACAAAATTTGGCTGTTTGGAGTTGCTATTGAGACGTACCAGCAGAACTATGAAGGCTGACAGAAAATCAAGCAGAGATGGCCTGACCGAAAACTGAATCTGGCTCCCCCGCTTGGCCTTGAATTGGCCAACTCTCTCAATCTCTCCTGGATGTTATGTGAAAAAGAAGCACCCCCCCCCCCCCCCCCCCCCCCCCACCTGCTCCCTCCCGAGGACATCTGTGGACCAGTGTCAGAGCTGAGCCGGTTGATAGACACTGCACCATCTCTTGTCAGGACTATTGAACTATCTGTCAATGTCCACGGACAACTCGATGCATTCGTTGGCCTCCTCATGCATAAATGTATTATGTCCTCAGTATGTTGCTGTTTCTGTGCTGAGTTTTTTTTTGTTGCAACTTTCATACTGTGTCCCATCTAGGACACAGTGCAAAGATATATTTTTTATACCTCCCCTCGTGTTTCTCTTCACCTTATCTAAACAAAAATGGCAGCACCTCCCGAGGCCGCGCCCTCAGACATCTCCATCTCCCCATGTCTTTTTTGTTTTACGCTTTCTCAGACAGGGTATAATGAAATGTAATTTCGTTGTGTTTCGGTGCAATGACAAAGCTGATTTTGATATTTCAGTTTTTTTTCCTCCTGCAATCAATGACTTCTTTTAGCATAATAAACAAAGAGCTGTGAGGGAATGCCATTTTTTCACACAGACAAAAGGGACTCTGGTTCTTAGATAACGCTCTTTAATACATCAATACTTCGTGTATTTGAGTGTATTCACAATATAATGAAGTAGAAAAGACTACGTACAAGTAGCAGCAATGAGAATGAAGAAGAAACTCACAATGAGATTTTCTGCTACAATGCACTTGGTGTCTCTCATTACATAAGGAAACTGGGTAAAAAAAAAAAAATCTCCCAGCAGATATTTACTCGTCACGTGCCATCCCTCGGGAGCATCAAGAACGTTTTACCAACAGCGACGCATACAAGCATAAAAAATGAACTCCAATGAACTGAGATCTTTGCATGGTGCACAAAACGTCATTTGGTTAGAGCTGCAGCGCTAACGGGAGCTGACAGCAAATGTCATTTTATAGTTTCATTTACTGAACACAAAGATGTTCAGAGCTGAAGGTGCAAAAAATTAACACCTAAACATTAGTAATGTTCTGCTTGTCTTTGTTTTATTCTTCCACTCAACTTGATGTGGCTTAGGCACCTCTGTTTGTTGTTGGTTATGAAAAACAAAAATTCATAAATACTTATTATCGATTTATTTAATGAGAACAAAGAACATGTAGGCTGAAAACAACCATTCATAGCATCTATCACAGGGTTTTCATCCATTTCTAAAGTGAGCTTTTAG